AGAGTTTTTGAATTACCATTCCTCATGCATCGAAATATATATGGAGAGGAACTCTTAAGTTGTCAGAACTTGTTTCCGATCCAATTGATTATTTCAATAAAATATTTTGTGTAAAACATGCAATGAAATGACACTGTAATGTTGATTGTACATGTTTAAGCGACTTGGTGTAGGTGGTGCCATTCAATTGTTGTTGTTTTTTAATGCAAAATTCAATTTTCAGATGGCGACATTTCTTCGGAAATGGCCAGATAGTAGTAAGAAGCAAGTTTTCGTCTAAATGTCATGTAATATTGTTAACCCATTCATTATTATTGGATTATGATTTCTCTTTTACGAATGTAAAGTATTAAAACAAGATTCTGTTTATAAGTAAATTAGCTGTGCGCGATGCTGTATTCCGTTTTTATTTGTATTTTCTTTGATTTTTTGTAGATCTTCTTCCTACGTACTTTTCTGACAACGCTTTTTTTTAATGAGTCAGTATGCTAAAAGGATTATTGTTTTGTTCATAGATTAACCTTCCCCCAAATAAATAAAACAGGTATTTCGGTGAATTTTTTTTTTGAATCTATTAATTTTTGTTTGTTTCTTTGTTGTTTTTTTTTAAATCTATTTTTCATATTGATATTTTTTCATCATATCCATATAATTCAGTATATTTAATTCGATCAGTATATTTTCTACCACTTGGAATTGAGATGTTTACCGCTTTAATTAAGGTCACCTCGTGGTTACATAGATTTTCTAATTAATTAAGTACAATATTCATTTTAATCTTTTGTCCAGTTTGCATGTCAGTGCGCTAGATTTAAGGGATAGTTTTCCTTACGTTTAGTTTCACATATGGATCTGAGTTGTACTCAGCTGAGTCTTTAAGAAAATGATGTTGTATTGTTTGAAGTTTTAGTATACATGTTGTGTTGTATGGTGTATCAAATCATGCTTCACTCATTAATTATTTATATGCAACATTTTCCTTCTAAATGATTTTGGTCTTCCATGTAACGAACACACACTTAAATATTAGATTGCACATATAACCTCATTAATGTGTATAGACATCACTATATATCTGGGCAGCTTGGGTGCATTCTATCATATTGCTATATATGTACTTCCAAAATCTTTATTTAGGTTGTTTAATTTTGATTGTATAAATTTACTCTTACAATACAGGATAAAATGTCAACCAATTGTTATATTCATTCTTACAAACATAGAACTTGACACATCTCACGTCTTTACGATGAAAATTCATTTAAGTACTCTTAAATATAATTTGTTTGCAAAACATATAATAGAAATTCCATCTTGTGTCTGTGGGAAAATTGCATCAATAACACAGTCCTCTCTACAAAAATGTAGGAAGAAAATTCATTGACCCAATAAGAACAGTACATGTAACTGCAAATATCCTCTTACATGGAGATTTAACTAAAAAAAATTCCTTTCAAATTATATTTTTAACATGTACATACGAAAGCCTATTAGGATCAAACTACGGTAAAAAAAATTCAAAAGGCGTTATAACGCCTTTTAATTTTTTTTTTATTGTTGTTTGATCCTAATAGGCTTTCGTATGTACATCCATTTATTACCGCATCCAAAAAATTTTAACTTAACCTTGTCGAGTTTCGTCTTTATTTGTGAGTGGCCGTATTTCTCAGTTTGGAATTTTTAAAACGTTATGTGTATGTGTCTGTACATTTTTATTGTGAATATGTAGTTTATCAACATATGTTATAAAATCTCTTCAAATATTTGCTCATTTACTCTTACATTTTTTCTGTTATTTTTCTTTACTATTTCATTTATCATGTTTGTCATGCGACAATGTACATTTATGATTCAAAGTTTATTCAAGCAAATGGATTTATATAAGTTGTAACAACTTGTTTCCGAGTCCTTAGTTTTAACTATTTAAGGGTACATGTATAAATATGTTGACTTATTCAAATGAAATAAAGTTTAATCTAAGTTTAAACTAAAATATTAACAACTGCATGTATTTGACAGATTCTTTCAAAAGTCATAAAAATGAAGAAAAAATAAACTGGATACATATCATAATGGAATAATCTAATGCAAATATACACCCAAACACATTTCTTTGTATGTTTAATTTGTTTGTAAAATTAGTTAGTATAAATGTTTACCGAATATATATTTAAAATTTCTACATACACTTAAATAAAGACAATTTTGGATAGGTACACAAGAAAATTATATCAGAGAGAGAGAGAGAGAGAGAGAGAGAGAGAGAGAGAGAGCCCTGTGTATAATTCCAAATTTCAAACCTTTTTTAGTATAACGTTGAATACCAAAATTTCATTTTGCAAACTGTACATCTTTTAAGCAACGCTGTTGCTAGAGACTGGTGGATTTTACTGCAGAAAAGTAAGTTTATAAAACGTTTAACTGTACTCACATGGTGATGATTGCGTCAGTGTAATCGTCCGTCATCAGTAAAATTATCCAAACACACTTCTGTTCCAAAAACTTTTAAATTCCGTCTGTATCTCAAAAAGTATGTCCGCATGAGGCATTTTCTTTCTGAATCCATTATGCTTTTTCACACCTGTCTACGTATATAAATGAGTTTACAATGCTATCATGTTACTATATTTTTGGGTGCAAGGTAATAAGAATTCTTGCAGTATTCACTCTAAGAAGCAATATCAAGGATTACGAAATACAAGTTTCCTTTCGGAAGTCTTATTCAGTGGTACTTAATACAATATAAACAACAAGGGTACCATAAAAGCGGTAATAAGCTCGTACGGATAGATAAAACAATTACGCTCTAACTGAAACATTAATGATGCCTTTTGAGAATGAGGCCAAATGCCTAAGTACTGTGATTCGTGTTCGTAATTTTATACTGATGTATTTAATCCGTGATGAAATTATTTCTTTTCTTAAACTCACCTTCTAATATTGTATTAATTACTGATTTGATAGTCTTTTGTGTGTTTTCCCCCATCGATCATTTTGGGCAAAATTCAATGTAAAACTTTTTTGAAAATATATGCATATTTAATTTTTAATTTTATATATTGTTCTTCATTTGATCTATCAAAATATCTTCTCTAACCATCAATCTAAATTAGAAATTTCATGAAATCTTTGGTTAACAATTTTAATGTAATTTGTCTAGATGTAAGAAAAAGTCATTTTTAACGTATTATATTAACCACATTTTCATCACTTTGTCTAAAAAAAAAAAAAGAACATATACGGACCATATTATAAAATCAATAGAAATATTTTTTTTTTTTAAAATAAATACGATACATTTAAATAAAATGAACGCCAAACATATATTTCAGAATACATTCGTCTGCTTTATCACCGGTTCAAGGAAAATTTCATTAGAATAACAATATTTTATTGGCACAACCGGATTAAGTAATTAAATCTGCGTGGTCTCGGATGTCGTGAATCTGCCCGCAAAGGACACTGCAAATCGGTACTTACATCACGGGGCCATCATGGTCGTGTAATATGCAGAACCAGAACTATATAAATGGTCAAGTATTGATTATAGATGTTTACTGGACAGGTCGGATTTAGCCTCACGGCAAGAATATGATTCAGCCACTGTATCTGATTATACTTGTAACTGTATACACGACATTACAGTAACCGACTAAGAGGACTTTATATTCTAGCTTTAGATTCCAAGTTACGAACGAATCAAGTACATATAATCTTTAAAAAAAATAAATACATTGCATTAATTCGCTAATGGGCATGCAACATCCTTAAATTTTTAAGTAAATAGAGGACAGTTGCATGGATAAGATTTTTTAAATTTTCCTATTTTTGAAAAAGAAATCAATGACTTACAAAATGAATAATGCTCGTTATTTCCTTTTTTAAAAGACTGAATACCCTCTCTCCCTCTTACCTCCAAAATGGAAATACGCGTATCTTGAACAAAATTTTTAAAAAAATCAAACAACTCAAAAAAAGGGGGGGGGGCAAAAAAGAGTAACAAATCGAATTAAAACTTACAACTTCTTTGGGAACGAAAGATTTAAAATTTGATTTTCATCAAAAATAAAAATACATATCATGTATATCATGAATGGGACCGGCTCCAGTATAAGACTATTTGAATCATCTCCTGGATTAAATAACTTCTTTGCAAAAAAAGTGGTTTAATCATATAATGCCTGAATTAGCCATGAAAATGTAAATCTTATATATGTAGTTATATTACAGTAAATAAGAGATTAACAGTAGGCCTATAAGTTTATACTTACACGTACGTCTATGGTTTGTAGGTTACAAAAAGATTGTTCAGTCGACGATTGTTCAGTCTGGTTTGTAGGTTACAAAAAGATTGTTCAGTCGACGATTGTTCAGTCGACTTAAATTATGATTTATTTCTTTAAAAAAATCGGAAAATTCAAAATATAAGTTGATCCACAAAATATACTTCCGGTATATCAAAGCAAATTTTTTAATTAAGTCCGCCCTCACCCCGACCCCCACCCCATGCTTGATTACGAAAAACTGGTTTCTGACTGGTCAGTCCACTCACCAACCCCCCTCTGGCAATGTAAAATTTTATTCCCCTCGAAATGAATTAAAACTTTTTGGTCTGATTTTTAAATTTTTTTTTTTTTTGATGTGCATATTATAAAGCCCTTATTCCTAAGAAAAACAGCCTGGGCTAATTCTTGTGAAGTCAAATGTTAATGTGCTGGATCCGCCACTGACTCGAAAAATGGCATAGCTTAAATCATGAAAATTCCTACTTTTATCATATTGATTTCGCTTTTATTTTTCATTCAATTCGTTCAGATTTTTTTATTTTTATGTCAAATGTACATATTTTAATAGGCTTTCAATTTAATAAACTTGTATAACAAAATCAACGTTTGGATTTTAAAATTGACCCTTACTCTTATTTTACAAGATGCCATATCGAAAATATGACGCACAACAATGAATGCGCGCGCAAACTACCTGTTATTTTTTCCGACAAAGATGGATCTTCAACAAAAAGGGGGATAAGGATAGAAGAACTTCAAATTTATGGTGTATAAATTGAATGTTATTGTAGTTGCTGCAAGGATCAACTCTTTGAAATAGGTTTGTACTATTATTGGCCTAACCAGTCGAAATATTATTTACTTGTCTCGCAAACACGTATACAAAGAAATGTTGTGACCCCCACTGTTTGGTATAATCCGGAGTGATTCGCAATGGAACACTCCAAATGTTGGTAGGTTCCATTTGTGGACTAAATGATCCTATTCGTGTCTAAGTTTGGTGCGAAGGGGTGGCCAAATATCACGCAAAGCAGGGCATGTGTTAGGGAATTGTCAAACAAATAGAAAATGTATCAACACGGTGTGAATATCATTCCTAAGGTTATTAGCACCGTCTGGGATCTGTACATACACTGTTGTATAATCTATAGGCCCACAACCTAACAAGTCCCATTTAGAGCCACTTTATCCTCATTGTCCTATATCCGTACATACACTTTCCACATGTAAGATAAACCAAGGAAGTTCATTCTGATTCATCTAATGAGGCTGCTGATGACCTTCTATTCTGTGTCATTGTCCTTTAAACTGGGGGGAAGAAAGTGCGACTAGTGGACCAGACCAGGGTTTGAACCTGACACCCAGCACTGGAGGTGGATACTCTATCAACTGAGGTACTGTAGTAGGCCACTTGAAGAATATGCCATTCCTCCCTCCTAGTAGATCGATCTATGCCTTCAACTCCCAAGAAACCATCCCAGCAGCTCTTTTACCTGTCACTCTCAGGGCAATGGCACCAAATGTTACAGAAAGGGAGGATTAATGCGACAGATCAGGATTCGAACCTGGACCCCTGAACTCTTGACAGGTGTTCTACCAAGAAACTGAGCTATATCTGGCATTTGTATTTAAACCTGTGTGCGTGATACCCACACTCTAGATTTCCTAACTCTTTTAATGTCTTCACTCCAAAGACAACAACCCAGGCAAAACAAAGCAGGATTTGAAACTGGCCACCCAGCTCAACTCTATATACACAGCTAGGTGCTATATATCAACTGAAATATCTGATCACTTTTCAATGAAACCTGTCAGACTGCCATGTACATCCTCCCTCCTTGCCCCTGAAAGACATCAAATGCAACCCAGACTCCTCTCCTGAGCAGGCCTTTCACAAGCTGTCACTTCCATGGCAATAAAGTCATGGCATGAAATGTGTGATCGATGTACAACACACCTGGATTTGTACCTGGGCCACCTGAACTCTCAAATGACAGGTTCTCTACCATTGAGCTTTCCCGCCACAGGAGAACAAGGCCATCTAACAGCCACACCCAACTTAGTATGAAAGACCTTATTAAAAGTAACTAGAGAAATCTTGGTCTTATACATGTTATATGAAATTGTCATACTGTATACCAAGTTATTTTTTTCCCAATGTTTTTTTCGCTAAAACACACCTGGAAACATCTTTTTATTTCGGCCAAATAAAAGAGAGGTAACTCTGTCTCTGCTGAATTTGCCCATTTCTGAATTTCCCCGCTACTAATGAAGAGGGCAAAAATTTCCCTGTACTCAGTAGTGATTAACCACTGACAAAATGTAACAGAAAACCCCATTTGATCCCTTGTCCAATTGTCCATTGATCTGTGCAATGAATTTGTCACAGACATTTATAGATGTCTATAACCACAACTTGTAAGCTGTCTTTACTCTATTCATTCCCTTTTCTTGTGTATAAGGAAGCTAGATTACTGGATTCAAACCCTAAGGCTCTCTGTATAGATAGGTGCTCTATCAGTTGTGGAATTTTCTTGCATCAAATGAACCACTTTCTCTACTCTTAATTTTCACAACTGGAGACAGTGACATCAACCCATTCTCACCTCTGCCCACCTTTACAACTATCATATAGGAGTGATGTGGAACCAGTATATCAAACAGGATGGGAATGAAAGAAGTGAGCTAGTCCAGGGTTAAAACCTAGACCCCTACATTGTAAGAAAGTGCATGCTCTTCTAACTGACTAATCAGCCATGGTAGCAAACTTGATTGTCACAATCACATGTCAATACTTCCCAATTTTTTTTCTCATAAATTAAGTAAATTAAGTGAAGCTTATAGGGTTGTTTAATGTGGGACCAAGTAGTTCAATGAGTAAAGCATAATGTACAGTAAGTGAGGGCCCAGTTTGATTACCTTTGGGTTACTATGCCCCTTCCCTCCAGATAGCTGATCTGGTTGCCAACACCTTATAATTAATTTACAGGCATTAGGTAAGAGGATGGGTAAGTCTTTATGGGTGAATAATTTAAGGAGCTAGGGAGAAATTGGAAGACTAATAGCACTGAAAAATTCAATCTACTTGTCATTTGGAAACTTTAAACTTAATTTTTTTAGGGGGGGGGGGGAGGGTGAAGAGTCAATTTTCAATTGGGTGAGGGTCCTTTTACCAGACCTGCTTGCAATGGATGTTAAAAGCCCTGAAAACGGAGGGAGAGGAAAGAACAAGCAAAGGAGGAAGAAAGTGGGTATGAGGAGACAGAATGGAGATCCCAATGATAAGAAAATGATGGATGTGAATGAGGATTTAAGGTGCCTCTTTTCCATTGCAGGTACAAACCACATTATTCTTACAGCTTATTTTTCTTATATAGGTGTACATTCTGTGGATTCAAGTGAAGTACTTGGTCAAGTATGGAGGATGACAATAGTGAAGATAAGTGGATGGCTCCAGACTCCACCAATGAAGCATACCCAGTAAATGTGACGTACACATCAAGTCACTCTAACTTTACAGCATCTACCACTGTAAGCTTGTACAACCACCCAACATATAACAATCACTTCAGGAGTCATGACAGGTATTAGATTGTGTGGGTTTCTCAAAGTTTAAATGTAGAGAATAAAACCAATATGTCTGTTGTATTTATTATCAAAAGATGGATTGATTGACACACTGTGTTTGTTATAAATGCATTAAGGATTGATTGACACACTGTATTTGTTATAATTGTTATAATTGCATTAATTAGATCTAACATGTATACTGCAACCCTAAAGGTACATTATATTTTAAAAATATAAATTTCTCAGTGACACCATCAAGTGTCATAGGAAAATATTTTCACATTACAGAAGCCAGCAGGGGAACTACGATCAGTCCTCATACCAGATCTCTCCCCCTCAGCAGTTTTACCAGCCCACCACTTCTAGTACTACCTATGACAGACTGTCCCCCACCTCCTACAGGGAAATCCCCACTGATAATGAAGCGATATCTTACTCCAGTCTCCAGCCACAGGAGGGATCCCAGCTCATCAGCTCTGTGGACAGTAGCACTATCTCTCAAATGGTAACTTATTCTCAAACTGACTTGAAAAAGATGAAATAAACTTATATATATTTTTTTCAAACAGCTAAATCAGTAAAAATGTCCTAGTGTCTTTTTCTTTATGAAAATATTTATGAGAAATCTTTCTTTGAAAATTGAAAACTTACATTTTAGGGTTTTTTTTAGAATGACAAGTTTATTAGGTTGCATGTATGTAGAATTTGAAGTAGATATTTTGGAGTTAATCTGTATATAATTATCTAAGAAGCCATGACGGCAGTAATATTTTTTGTACAATTAAACAGGGCTATCAGATGCATCATGTGGTGATGGACGCGGACAGACTGGTTACTGTACAGAGAGTTGTCTCCCCTGTGGACTGTTCTGCTGGTCCTTCTAGTGTGTCCAGTATGTCCCACCAGGAGAGTCTCAATCAGCTGCCCACTCATACCATCCTGACACCTGTACCGGTAAGGACAGAGTGTATGTACTAATAACAGTCAAACCATGTGTTTGCTCAAACTCAGTGGTACCAAGCAAAAACTTTGAAATATGAATACTTGAGAAAATACATGAAGAAAAAGTGCCTGGGACTTCCATTTGACATATCCTTGATATTTGAGATCATTGTTCACTGTTAGCTTTGTAGGGTCAGAATATTTTCTCAACACGACTAATTCTGAATTAAGTGATGCTTGATATGTTTTATCGTTGAAATTAAGAGCTGTAACTCTAAAAACATTGGAAGCTGTCTTAAGACTTGAGGGCTCCTGAATTCATATGTACCAATGGGAATTAGGTACAATCCTCACTGCATTAGAGGAATCACCAAAAAATGGATTTAAGCTTCTGATCAATTAAAAATAATTAAGGGGACAAAGAATTTTCTGTTATTGTATATGTATGAGGTTCAGTGTTTGTTCACTTTTGATCATTATGTTTTTATTAAAAGGTATCAAGCATCCAAGGCTATGCTACCTCTTACAATGAAGTAACAGTGCCAAAGAACTTAAGAAATGGAAACATAAATGAGGCAATAGCACATGAGGATCAGAGAATGACGTATTCCAGAGGTTCTGTAGACAGCAGCAGGTTCCCTCCCAAAAAGAAGGAGGTAAATTATTCACCATCTTGATTGAAATATTTAAATGATAATAGTTTCCTTCCATTTTTATTTTAATTTTTGTCTGGACTGGGACTTTAACACTCACTATCCAAGATTGAAGCCCTCTGCTAGCCAAAATTGGCCCCCTGCTAGCCAAGATTAAAGCCCTCTGCTAGCCAAGATTGAAGGCCTTTGCTGCCAAATTCATACCCAGTACTTGACACTCAGTCATAGAGATATACTAGCAAGACATGATTCATAAAAAAAAATAACTAACATTGTAGATAGCCAGGGACATTGTCAGTGGTGATGCAGACACAACCAGGGATGACAGAGATCTGCAGAACTATCAATCAGCCCCTCATGGTAATAAAAAAATATATATTGGTAATAAAAAAAAAAATATGTTACTGGACACAATTTTTGTTTCCCTTTCAAACACCCCCCCCCCCCCATCACTCAAAATCAATATATATTGTTTCTAGATTTTTTTAAACCAGTAGCCTGTTAAATTTGAATACAGAACTTTTACACCTTAAATATACATGAGCATCTTTATCTCAAACATTAATGTTTCAAATATTTCACATGTCAAAGGGAGCTAGCAAATATCCAACCAACTCAAAACTTGAGATATCTCAAAGTTTTATGACACTGTATTCATTCTTGTAAATTTTTATTTTTGAATGAAAAATTTTCCTTAGCTGCTTACTAATATGCATGGGTCTAAATGGTGACTTGCAAGGGGAATCAACTTTTTAGCTCACCTGAGCTGAAAGCTCAAGTGAGCATTTCTGGTCACATTTTGTCTTGTGTCTGTCTGTCTGTCTGTCTGTCCGTCTGTAAACTTTTCACATTTTCGACTTCTCAAGAACCATTGGGCCAGTTTTGATCAAACTTGCCACAAAGCATTATTAGGTGAACTGGATTCAAGTCTTTTCAAATAAAGGACCACATCCTTTTTCAAGAGGAGATAATTATAAATTAGGGAAAATTTGGTGTCATCTTTCAAAAATCTTCTTCTCAAGAACCATTAGGCCAGGAAAATTGAAACTTATGTGAAACCTTCATTACGTAGTGTAGATTCAAGTTTGTTCAAATCATGACCCCCAAGGGTAGGGTGGGGCCACAATGGGGGATCAAAATTTTACATGGGAATGTATAGGAAAGAATCTTCTCAAGAACAAAAAAGCCATGTCTAGTCTAATTGATATGGAAGCATACTCAGGTAGTGTAGATTCAAGTTTGTTCAAATAATGACCCCCCGGTGGAAGGGTTGGGTCACAATGGGGGATCAAAGTTTTACATAGGAATATATAGGAAAAAATCTTCTTAAGAACAGAAAAGCCATGATTAGTCATATTGATATGGAAGGATACTCAGGTAGCGTAGATTCAAGTTTGTTCAAATCAAGACTGCCAAGGGTAGGGTGGGGCCACAATGGGGGATCAAAGTTTTACATAGGAATATATAGGAAAAAATCTTCTTCTCAAGAACAGAAAAGCCATGTTTAATGATATTGATATGGAAGCATCCTCAGGTAGTGTAGATTCAAGTTTGTTCAAATCAAGACCGCCAAGGGTAGGGTGGGGCCAAAATGGGAGATCAAATTTTTACAAAGGAATATGCAGGAAAAAATTCTTCTTTCCAGGACAACAAGCAAAACCATTTGTTATAATGGTATGGAAGCATCCTCAGGTAGTTTAAAATTCAAGCCCCCCTGTAAACTTTTCAATACTGAACTGATTTGTGCTTTTTTCCTAGCCAATGTGCTCAGGTGAGTGATGTGGCTCATGGGCCTCTTGTTAATTCAGTCCTCTTGTGTTTCTGCTGTGACTAATTTAAAATCATGCATGGAGAAAAACATACTGCAGTTCAAAAATTTTCAACACCAAGTGCAAGTCACCAGTAGATTGGATTGAGCTTTTTACATATAGAAAATTTTATCATTTTATTTAAAAATTTTTGTAATTTAACACTAATCAAATGTAGTTCATGGCTATATCCTGGAGGATGACCAAGTTGGAATCCATTCCACAATGGTCAAAGAACCAGGACCACTGCACCATAACCAGGAAGCCTTGATAGACACCACCCAATCAACTGCCATCAGCTTCTCATCTGCTGGAAAGAGCTTGGAGACTTCAGGTGTAGGAAACTCAGTTCTGCCTACAGACCTGGGTAAAAATTTTGTATGAATTAGATACACAAGTACACATCTACTGCTGTATATTTTGTTTTTCGCCATAATAGTATGGCCTGCAAACAGATTTACTTTGACGTGAAGATATTAATTCTTACATTTCATGATTTCAGTATATATAGGCATAAAGATTTTCATGCCCCCATAATCGGGGCATGTAGTTTTTGGTCTGTCCGTCTGTATGTTTGTCTACCAAATTTTAACCTTGGCCATATCTTTTGTACAGTTGGGGCTAGAGCTTTCATATTTCACAGGTTTATTCCTTGTGACAGAACCTTTCTTTGGGTACCAAAATTTTTGACCTCATGAATTTGACCTGGGAGATTTACCTTCTTTTGAAAAACTTCAACCAAATTTCAGCCTTGACCATAACATTTGAATGGTTGGTGCTAAAACTTTCATATTTCACATGTCCATTTTTTGTGAAAAGACCTTTCTTTGGGCATCAATATTTTTCACCTTGATATCTTAGCCTTGGAGTTTAACCTTGGCCATAAGCTGCCTTATGGGGGCATCATTGTTTCACAAGCACATCTTGTTTTCATATAGACGTTGACAAGGTATGAGTAATTTGTCCTTTTTCCCAGGTCAGTTGAGCCATCATTCAAACATGAGGTCAGGCCTTGATGGAATTCAGATGTATCAATTGACGAGTGGAAAAAACCAGAGGAATGAACCAGACTCCCTATCAACAGTTCCTGTCCCTGTACGTCTAGTACGTTAGAAAAAAGGGTTCTACAAGTCAAACATTTTCATGTCTGCCTGTTTAGAGAAAAAATTTATGCAGAAGCTATCATTTCAATTTTAATATAGGTAAGAAAATCATCTCGTATTGCTGAGATGGAAAATGAACCTCAGACTTGGAGAAAACCAAAGTACAAGCCAGGAGTATATAACTACAATGAAATATGTAAGTCTAGTCTGAAAACATTAGGAAATCTGTGAAGTCTGCTGTGTTAAATTTTTTTTGAAACAATGTATTTATACCACTCCTTAAAAAAATGAGTTTTACCTTGACATTTTGACTTAAAGAGCAATCAATTGTGAGTTTCCATTAGTCTAAATTGCTTTATATTAAATTTGCATTGATCATATCATTGCTTAATAAATAGGTGAACTTGAAATACCAATGGTCTAATGTTTGTTGGTTTTGCATATTCCAGAAGAATTCCTGTATGAAATGTATGGTTTATGGGACATCCATTTTATTTTTTGATAGTTTTTACATGTGTATCATTTAGAGACAAGATGCTTTGAATACATACTTCAAGCATCTATTATGATGTAATTTATATCCTATGTTTGTAGGGTGTGATGATTGTTCAACAACGTACGCCACAGAGTGCCCTACCCACAAACTGACCCTTGTGCCTGACAAGGTGGTTCTATCTCGAGCATGGTCCAGTCTCCCCCCACTGTTACAGATCTTTAGAATTGGGGACCCAAATCTCCATCCTATAGGTATAAATAAAATAGCTTTAAATAAATTAATAAATGCACTGCTGTGTGGGTGCCCCATAGTGATCAGTATGTCCAACCTCTGTAAATCAGATGTTACTTGTCCAAAACAAATTTTCCTGACCTTGGCTTACTGGGCTTAGTCAAGCACATGCCTTAACCAAATGAGTGTCTGAGTAAAGGGTGTTCAGTCACCTCCAATCAAGTTTTCAGTCTCATTGAGTTCTTTGAATAAAGAGTGTATATTAGTGTTTAGACCAAGTCAAAGGTAAAAGTCAAATAGATTTTTGTGTATACTCCATGGAGGGTTTGGTTATTTTCAGATTCATGATTTGGTACTCATTATCTCAAGAAAATGCTATTAAAAAAAGTCAGATTTGGAAAAAAGAGTTTTCTTTTTAGCTCTGCTGGTTAAGTATCATAGACTATGCATAATTTCATGATTGTCAAGATAGAGCAGTGTTATGTAACATTATTTTCTTTTCAGAAACAAGTGTTGGAGTATTTGCCAAGAGAACCATCCAGAAAAATGTCCAGTTTGGACCCTTTGTTGGAGAACTTGTCACCGATGAGAATGCTATTAATGGCAAATTCCCCCTGGCTGTAAGTAGAGCAGGGTCAATCTGCATGGTTTGTAACTGTATGGCTGGACCGGGAATCAAACCTGGACCCCTGCATCACTAGTCAGGTGCACTACCTACTGAGCTACCCAGGCCATTATATCCATGGCCCAAACCATTACATTTTAAATTAAGCTAATAATCAGTGTCTTTGAAATATCTTGTACAGTGAAACCTGCCTAACCTGACATGCAGTAGCTGGGAGACAAATTCTGTGTCATAAAGCTAAAGTCATATAGTGAAATGTAAATATGGTTTTAGTTTGCAATAACAAGAAAAATTATATGATATGTTTTTTTTTATACACCCATTCTAGATTGAAAGAGGTGAGGGAGACGTCAGTTATTTTGATACTTCTGATGAAAACAAATGTAACTGGATGATGTTTGTTAGACCTGCTGAAAGTTATGCGGAGCAAAATTGTGTGGCGTATCAATATGGCCTAGATATTTATTTTACTGTCACTCGAAACATTGAAGCTAAAGCAGAAATCAAGGTTCGTACATGTTAACCCCATGCTTGTGTCAAGATATCATTTCAGAAATGTCATTTTCTTTTTCTAACGCACCGTAAAAAGCTATCTAAAATGATTTCAAAGGTTATGTTGATTTGAATTTTGGACATCAGGTTTGGTATGCCCCACATTATGCAGAAAGATTTGGATTTCCAAAGTTAGAGATCACTGACCAAGATATACAGAGTAAGTACAACCGTGCAAAGCTCAGAATATGGAGATTGTATATATCTTGTAGCTTCTTGGGTCTGAAATCCTTTCTAGTGTCAGATAAAAAGTTGTGTGAACATGTGTACATGTACGTATGAAAAAAGCTAATGAAATGATAAGGGATGATGGTCACTGTGTAAAATTAGAAGAAAAAAATTAGAAGAAAACTGCATGATAGACATATTATTTATTAGTTTCTTATAAATCTTTTTTTTAATTGCTTGAATGTTCAGTAGTTCCTTATTATTTTACATGTGTATTACAGCATTGGATGACCAGGAAAATAAATTTGTTTGTTACGAGTGCACGGAGTCCTTCAGAACACAGATGGCACTACAGAAGCACATCATGATTCATGAGGTTAATACTTCTACCATGAAGGACACCTCCAAGCCCTTTAGCTATACTCCTCCCGTGCCACAACAGTACGCCACAGAGGTGGTCAATGAGGCTGAGACATCTACATCTTTTGAAAGAGCCAAGAAATTGAAGCCGCCCAAAAAGACCAAGGTACTGAAATAAGTGTACTGGTACTCTAAAAATCAATGTTCTTGAAAGAATAACCTGTATAATCTTTTTCTTCATGGGTTTCTTGTTTTACAAGGTCTTAATTTAAATGAAAGATATGAAATTATTAGAAAAGAATTTCATTAATATTAACATTTTGTTTTATTGCAGGACATAGGTGAAACTTATATGTGGAAGAAAAAATCAACAAGTTTTTACTTGAACAAGTACGTTTTTAATATTCTTCAAAAGAACTTTCGTGTCTTAAGATGTTATTCCATTCACTTTTACTTCCAACAGATCCTTTCCTTTAATCTTGTCTTCATGTATCATTATAACACTACTTCAATTCATACTTTCAGGACCTTGAAGAAATACAAAAACCGACAAAATCCAGAACAAATCAGGAAAAACCTGATGAACCTGTATCGACGGAAAGGAAAGGGTTCAGGGGGAGGTAATGATTGGGAATGCAATCACTGCCACCTGTCATTCGAAAACTCTAACGTTTTAAATCTCCACATACTGGTGCATGCAGCAGAGGATGTAGATCTGGAGAGGGTACAGCAATACGCCATCACCAGCAGCGAAACTGTGACGTATGGGTCTGGTACAAATTATGTTCAAGTTGATAAAAGTATCTTGGCATGTCCAGTTTGCCAAATGCAGTTCAATGACCAGAAATTGCTGATACAGCATGCAGCAGAGCATGGAACATCAAAGTATAAATTCCTACGAGAAAGGCCATTCAAGTGTGACAAATGCTGCAAAGCATTCTATACACATGAGCGACTCCAAAGACATATTCTTTGTCATGGGGATGACTCGACAAAGCCATTGCAGTGTGAAGTTTGCTACAAACGCTTCATGAACAACTCTGCCTTATCCTGCCATTTGAAGATCCATAGTGACAAGAAGTATTACACTTGTCCTGTGTGCCATGAAGGATTTGATCACACTAATGCAATGAAATCACACGTAGTGAAACACTGCGTCAATGGGTACTACAAATGTCCAGACTGTGAAAGACAATTTGAGGATTTCCTATCACTGAGAAAGCACTTAAGAAGTTTTCACTCAAACAAGGAATATCCTTGCCCAGAGTGTAAGAAAGTGTTTCCTCGTCCAGACAAGCTCAAACTGCACATGCTGAGGCATTCAAGTCACAGGGAGTTTATGTGCGAGACGTGTGGACGGCAGTTCAAGAGGAAAGACAAACTCAAAGAGCACATTCGTCGCATGCATGCTGGTGATAAAGAGGCTAAACCTGTCAATCAACATAACGTGTCTTCAAAGAAGTTTGTTCCAAAAGTGTCACCCACAGATTTTCACAGATTTATTTACAAGTGTCATTTATGTATGTTAGGGTTTAAAAGAAGAGGTATGTTAGTTAACCATCTTGCAAAGAGACATCCAGATATAAATATGGAGTCAGTTCCTGAACTCAACCTGCCAATACTGAAAACCCAGAAAGATTATTACTGCCAGTACTGTGAGAAGGTTTACAAGTCCAGCTCAAAGAGAAAAGCCCACATCTTAAAGAATCATCCAGGGTCTATTCTGCCTGTGAGTGCTCGGAAAAAAGTCATAGACATTCCTGGATTACCAAACCCCACCTACTCCCAGACAGTTGGAAGTATAACAACAATGCCACACTCCTGTGAATATTGCCACAAGCAGTACGCAAGTAAAGCTAAGCTCACCCAACATCAGCGCAAGAAACATCCAGACACTGTCATTGAACAGGGCTACACTCCAAAGATTTCAAAATCTGATGTCAAGGAAGTTCAGCCCCCACAAGAGCCCCATCAGACCCGAGAGCATCAAACACAGCCTGTGCAACATTTAGTTCGTTTTGTTGATTCAGAGAATGCAGTTGTTGCTTGCATTCAACAACCCAATGCAACAGAAGGGATGCCACAAGCAGATCTGCTGACACAAGCCATGAGTGAGTTAACTCACTCCTTACAACCAGTCCAGGAATATCGCACCAGCTTAGGTGAAATAGCAACTGTAACCCCCAGAACAGGTGCCCCTGCAATGGTTCAAGTCCAAAATCTCTCAACTGCTCACTCCACTATTGAGTTCAGCCATCTTGGCCAGACATTATCTGGTGCTCATTTTCTGCCTTCCAATCACATCCCTGGAGCTCCCATTCAGCTGACAGCAATAGCTAGTTCGTCAACTGGTGAACAGATGGTTGACACCAATTTGCAGGTGATTACCTCTCCAACCCAGTCTCCAGGGAGGAGCCAAGCTAACCAGGAGAATCAAAATATCATTGTGTCCTCCCAGTCAGGTGTAGCTATGCAGGCTATTCCCGTGTCCCTCCCACCTGGAGCCATTATCAGTACACAAACATGGCCGACATATCAGAGATACAGATAGATCAATATCATAGAACTTTTCTATACTTATTGTAGGACTTTTATTTGTGTGTACGTATACCTGTAGTCTTTTCATGCTGCCCAATACTGCCTATGGACATGCCTTCTTTATGAATTATGCCTCTATTTATTTACTTGGGTATTAATATTAAAATCCAAGTAACAAGCTAATTTGGATTTAATATTCATGTATTTACCTGTTTGTTGCACTTTAAGTTAAGTATTGGCTTTTATTTTGTTTTATAATTCCAGAATAGTTCCATACTAAGTCCCAATACATGGGACAAATGTTTCTTAGTTCACGGTTTCACTTGTTCTGCAAACTACAATTTTCAAATTCACTCAGCTTGGGGTAAGAAAGTTTAATGTTTGATTATGGTGAAGGTTTTATTTACTTTCTGGTAAAATAGAGGTGCATTGAATGTGCTCATGGTTATTTTTACATTTTCTCAACAAAATTTGCATTTGCTCATTTTTTCCAACTCACATACAGTCCAACTATATTTCCTGTCTCCCATATTGCTTACAATTTAAATCAATTTTACTAGTACTATTTTATTATGAAAACCTTGAAATTAAATCTACACCGCACATAATACATTTAGCTGTGGTTCTTACAAGGCTGATTTATTCAGATGATTGACAGAAATGATTTCCAGAGAGCCTAAATTTGTGACAATTCACCATATCATCAAGGGTTGCAAGTGTTTAACTTCATGTGCTGTAGAACTTTGCCTATTGGTGAATAATTATATATGTTGAACACTTGTTGAACAAGTTTGTTTACAAAGCTATCTGTGACTAGAGGCAAGTATTGCAGCTGTTCAACAATATAATTAAATATTCAAGTGAATGCACTGAAGTGAAATCTTTGAATTAATCATTGCTTAATTTATATAGTAATTGTTCCTTTGTTTTGAAATAAATGATTAAAGTTTATAAGGTGGTTGATAATTATTTTTATGCCCCCAAGGGGAACTTGATGTCTGATGACTTGAAGTTAGGTAGTTGTGACTAAAATTAAAACCTCAGTGAATTTAACGAAAAGAAATTTGTATCTGGGCTATTACTTTTTAATTAAGGTACAAACACAAGGGAATAAACCAACACAAGTTAACCTCAACGGTGCCCAGTGTGTTCCCGTTTTGCACACATTTGATAATTAGGTATAGAACAATAGGTGTGAAATATGTTTTGATAGCAATTATAGTCTGATCTTCGTCTGGGATTTACCTGGAATTACCTATATTTTACCAATGCATTACGATATATATTTAAAAGAATAAATTTTGAAAATTTAACTTGTCCAACCCAACTGAAGATGAAGTCGATAATTTAGACAAGTTCATCCTGTTTTTTACTTACCGGTAATAAAGATAAAATGAATGAGGAAATGATTTCAATCCTAATTCATGAGAAAAATGAACTTGTCCAGTTAGTATCATATGAATATAATTATAGTTTTGATTAGTATTTTTGATATTGTGTTGTTTTAAAAAAAAAAATTTCTGCTTATGAAATTACAGAAATAAATCAAAATATAATGCAAAATTAATTTTTTTCCCCATTCTTTCCGTAGATTCTCTTTCTCCAAATTCACAACTATGATATAGACTATAGCAATTAAGTAATTATCTTACCAGGACAAATTCCCGTTTTGCAAAACGCGAAGAAACCATCTCAACATAGATTCTAAGGTGTGTATAATGACTGACTTAAGTTCACTTAGAGCAAATTGCTATACACTTGTAATTGTGTTGTGGCAAAAAGGAGATGGAAGAACAAGGTGTGCAAAATGCCTATAGCTTCCAAAGTACAAAAATCATATATTCTATTTGTAAATTTAGTATGTAAAGTAAAGATCTGAAAGGGTGACAAACTTTTCCATGGAAAATTCTCTCGGCAAAAATTATTGTATGATTTTAATGTGGTATTCTTGGGGTTCGAAACCAAGCAATCAATATCCTAAATATTATTTTTTCTTTCAGACTAACAAAGTTACTATTAAGATTTTTGACTAAGAGCAATAAAATTGGGAACTTTGAAGTAGATAAGTAAAAGAGCTTAGGGATAGAACTCCTGTGGTGCAGAGATGGGAACTGAGCCCATAAATAATACTAATGAAGGTATATCTTGATTGAAAGGTGGTGCCATGTTGAGGTTCATTGGTCAACCTACGGACCAAGGGTAGCTGGCATGGCAATTGTAAGACAGCCAAAAAAAAAAGTACTTTTTTATCCAGGGCCATGAATACCCTCTGAGCATATAAAAATAACCTGTTTGCCGGAAAACCGCATTCTTTTGACTATCCTTTGGGAATCATTTTTGGACTTTTCTTACCTTTGGGTTCTAGTTCTCAGCTCTTCTTGAATATTTTGGACTAAACTTAAAGCAAGAACGAGGGCGCTTTTGATTGACATTCGGCAGGAATCTGGGCGCACTTGAAAAGTGAAAATTTCAATGATCTGTCACATGAAATTTTAGCATTGTTTTGATGTAACCGGTTCCTGAGAAATAGGAAAGGGAAATATTTTCTCGATATTGTATTTTGATTTGCTAAAAAGGAACTTGAAAATTGGCTAGATGAGTCATTTGGCACAAAATGTTACATTTTCAAACACGTTTTTTCTAAAAATTTGCTACCTCTGGGTCATCTCTCCATGATGTTGAAACGTTATTTGTGTGCGTTTTAATTCAAAGAAACTAACAAAGATTTGTAAAAAATGGAGAGAAGACCCAGAGACGATAAAAAATGAACTTTTTCCAAAAAAAATTCCAATGTGTAAATGCGGTGCTTTGTTGTCGCTTTAAAAACCGTAAATAGTGTGTAGCAGTGATAGCTCAGTAGTGCATGTGTAGTGTGCGTTACTCGTCCAGTGCAACAAACAAGAAATATTTTTGGTTCGATCCTCGAATGGAGCGTTACTATTTTTTTTAGTAGAAACAATCAAATTTTTTGTCAGTTTAATTTTTTGCACTGATTTTTTTTCCAAATAGATAAATTCTGGTTCTGTTGCACCGAAAGCGAAGCAATTCTACTGATACTTTATTACATGTAGTTGTAATGTATATCCAGCTGTGGTCAGCTGACCAAATCGTAGACATTTATACTATAAATGTTTCGAACGCCTTATTCCTGCAGTTCACACACCAAACACGCCCATCTTCTTTGAGCTGCAACTTTGATGTCAGAATTTTTTTTTGCAAAATTGTAATTAACAATTTCAATGATGGAAAAAAGAGCATTTATAAACTTCTCTTGTTCATATTTGCAATGGAAGAACTATTCAGAAGCTTTGATTGGAGCAAAATTACGTTATTGTCCTCCTGTACAATATTTATTTCTTATATAATACTATACATTCCCTTGTACAGAAACCTATCTTCTGAAAAAAAAAACAACTTTATTTTAGTCTTATTGATCATAAAGGTTTAAATTACATACAGATTTATCATAACAGCACATTTTAACAGCAAAATGAAATCCTCAAAAATGCAGCTCATATTGCTAAACTTTTGTTATAACAAGTGTGTTGGTCTATTTTGATGACATTCCAGGACTTAAAATTAAAAATCTATACAATCACTGTGTCTTAATAAACTTTAGAAAAAGACACAAAGTTTCATCATTGGCTTACAATAGATTGTATGCATGTCCAATCTTTAAATATTACTAATTAACTCTTATACATAGATGTAAGTAGTCAGGTTTGTTTGTTTGTGGCCCAATAGCTGTTGGTATAGCACCTGTCTAGAGGTCAAGGGATCTAGGTTCAAATTCTTGTCTGGTCTGTTCCATTTTCTACCACCCTGTTTCAAATGTAACCAATTAAATTCTTGAAATAAATGTTACTTTCTTTTCACCATCATTTTGCAGCAAAGTTACAAGGGGTTAAGCGAAATTAGGGTTAATAAGTCAAAGTCAAAAGCACCCATAGATGCTGTAGATTGAAGGTAAAGAATATCATTTGCAATGTACATATATTTCAATATGCTACATAGATGCTAGTGGTCAAACAAAAGAATCAATTAATTTAATGATCAAAAGTTGAGACTGAATGGGATAGTCTTTAAGCTTTAGGACAAAGCAGGACAAGTGCTGGTAATATGAACATCACGTATACCTGAGATACAATGTTCTCTGTTTGAAAATAATTGTTGTGAGAAGATTCTCCATTTTGCAGAGCTCAGTGCCAAAGATCATAACAACATCAGAGTTACTCTTGCACTATTTTAATTAATATAAATTCTATGTATATGTTCTTCATAACCAGAATAATGTAACAGTGATGGATGAAACACTTTTTAAATAATGACCGATTTACATTTGGTAAAATGGAATCTGAAAAATGTAAACAACTGACAAATGTTGAAAGTACACATCATTTTCACAAATTTCAGCACGAACTCCAGAAACTTCAAGTCCATGGCATACATTTTTAATCTAAGTCCATAACTAAAAAACATTCCTTCAACCTCATCGCAGTCTGCGTAATGACTTTGCATAGACTGGTTCCATAACATGTGTACCAAGGTAGGCTCCCAGTCCAATCAATAAAAATAAGAGACATCCAGACATCAGTAGGTATCGGTATATTATTGTATAGTCGTATATCTGGAATAGAGAAAAACAGATTGATCCAAGCTCACTAATACATTATTATTGTGTTCAGTCAGGTTGGTCGGGAATTACCAGTGGTAAATACTGGTATTTCCCGTCCCGGGAAATACTACAATTTTTCTCTAAATTGGGAAATACTGGGAAATACTAAGTTATTAGAGTTTTATATTTCTCTAATTCATTCAATCTTATTCAAAATTTAAAAATAAACATAAAACCAGAAGATGAATAATATGGAATATGTCTCAAATTGCTATATAACATATTCAGAATGTATCACCTACTCCAGATCCCATACCCAAAAGCATTCTGAAACATTTCCCTGGCTGTACAAAAACTGAAGTTTTTCAATTCAAGTTTCTTTTCAGTTTTGTAAAATTATTAAGTTTATTAATTATTAATCCAAGAACAACAAAAAAAAACTTGTTTTCATCCTTCTATAAACACTGTAGTTATTACAAACAATCATGTTGTTTTAAGAAATTGCTCTGGACAGTTTTGTGCTCCTGTTTTGAGAGATAATTACCTTGAGTAAAACTAAAGGCTTCTTCTCAGATCTGATATTCATACCATACTCTACATTTAAGAATTTTCTTAGATCCTTCTTTAGTTACATAAAAACTCAATTGGGATCTTTGTGTTCATTTCATGGACCTTTATAGACTACATCTGACTCAAGCACTCATGATCGGTATATGAATATACTGTGTTATGATTACATGTATATAAAATGAATTACTTGGAAACCAGAATTTTTTAAATCGGGAACAGTGATACCAGGAAGATATCTTAGCCAATAAGGTGTACTACATGTCAATATGAATGAAATGTGTACCTATTTCTTATTTCCCAGTATTTCCCGGGAAATACCAGTAATTCTCGATAATTACCAGTATTTCCCACCATCCTGGGAAATATGAGTATTTCCCAGTTTTTTGCCAACCCTGTGTTCAGTAATGATATAATATTTCAAACTATATAAAATTTACAGAAATTCTCAGTATCAATTAATTTAAATACACATGGGGTGTTCTTGACAATCTATACTCAAAGAATCCTTGAAAAAGGCATTTTTTTTTTATACAACAAGCTCACAGGCTCGATGATGTCCTGGATATCAAGAGTTTGTCTACATATAACAAACTTTAATATCACCACCTAATGTGGCCTGACCTCCATATCTTAGGAAAGGGATTTTAGTCAAGGACTTCTTGCTCATTAGTGCAGTGCATGAAGTTTATCAGCTATATGTCCAGGAGTGAAAAGAATTTTCATTATGTAAGTAGTTTATGTTCAAATTCCACCATGTCCTGGAGTCAAAACTCTACTTAGCCTTGGGGCAATGAATTTCACTATTAAGTTTTAATTATAGGGATTATGGCTCACTTCCAGGAATTTACCAAACATCACTGCACCATCTGGGGTTAAAAAAAAAAACACTACTGGGATATGAACTTAAAAATGTTGGTAGAGAGTCAATATGCATTGTATAGTATGTCTCCTAGGAGTCCGAAAGAAAAAAGGAATTTCAGAAGTGTTATTAAACTTTCAATGTTATTATGATCGACTTAGCCTTACTCTGGAACCTGAATCATGAACCAGGGGTTATGAATTGTAGAGGGCTCATTCTATTTACCTAAACAGTTTGTCACCTAGATGTTCATGTGTTAAAAAAGAAGAAGAAGAAGAATTTTTAAGTTATTGTCTGGCACTTTTCTGTTCACAATGATACCAAAGCTAACATTCTTGGTGCATGTATTTGGTCTCTCCTCTTTCGAGAAGTGGATAGGCTTTTGCCTACATCCGAAAGTCTGTCCACTTCTCCAGCCTTGTTCATGTGCAGTATTGAAAAAGATGGCATTTCTGTCAGACAGAATTTTGTGTAACTCACAATGGCAGTTTGTTCATCTGTTGGTACTTTTGGTTCCCTTGGTAACACTACCAAGATCACGGTCACCAATCCTGATACAAGCACAGCCGCTACTCCAGCATATCTGAAATACACAATAGAGCATATCATACTGAAATACACAATAAAGCATATCATACTCAAATACACAATAAAGTATATTATACTGTCCTTTTGAAAAGCAATACACCTACTCTTCAAGGAATGTATCGCATAACAGTAACAGATGAGACTGAAATCTATAATTCTGAAAAATGATGAACTATCATCATTTTTACTAACTACATATTTTCATCATTTTTGTTATTTAACAACATGTATATTTCTAAGTCATGTTAGTGGTTTGGAATGCATATTTTTAAGGAATTTAATATACTTGATCAATGATTTTCAGGTCCTGCACAATCTCTTGATTTAGCTACATGCATATAGCTTGAATTAGCTATATAGCTTTATTAAGCTATTCAGAATAGCTTGATTTAGCAATTTTATCACACTTTTTTCTTAAATCATATATTTTTTTCAGCATGTACAAAAAGTTGCACCTTGGTGCAGTGATAGTATTCAACCATGATAACTTGATTCCATCATGCCCCTGACTGTTCAACCTTGAACTCTTCAGAAAACAATTAATGCATGTATAAATCACTCATCAAATTGTACTCAAAAATTCTAAAAGTTTTGGGGCTATGTAAAGCAACTGATATGTAACTACACGGTTTTTCAATGAAATTATAAAGGTGGTCAATTCTGGTCAACAAGATAACTGACTGGTGATAATTCAGCACCATGTGAAGCAATCATACTTATCCATCCCTCAGCACACACAAAGTGGTGAACAGTTATCCAAACAATGGAAATTCATCTTTTGCTTAAAAGTATTCAAAAGCTGCAACGTTAAAACTACCGGTATCTTTGGTTTGAGTTGCTTTTTTGATAGCCCATAGTACATATAAGAAAAGTAAAATACTTGCGACGTTTTGTCTCCTTCTAACAAAAAAAAAAAAAGAACTTGTGAACAACTGCATATCAATAGCTTTATCAAGGTATTTTGAATAGTTTGATAAAGCTATATAGCTATATCAAGCTATATAGGTTCAAGAGATTGTGCTGGACCTGTTGATTCCATGTCATGTCTGAGCAGGTTAACAATTTTCTGAAACATAGATGATGAATATGAATATTTAATCAACCATTCACTTTCTACTTACTGAAGTGCGCCTTGGGCCTTAGCAAACAACACACAGACAAATAAGGTTAAGGCCCACAACAGGGCTAACGTAAAGAAACCAGCTCCAACTCCTAAAATAAGCGCCATGTCTAAACAAATAACATCACTGATTATCGAGCCCGAGATTGTTCACATTTAAAATTGATAAATTAAAGAAAAACGTCACTTTTTAAAAAATATATTGCATTTACATATCAGTTATCTTTTCATATATATTTAAATTTGCTTACTTACATAATTAGTGAATTAAAAAAAATATGTATAAAAATTATCGGGCGTGGAATGCATTGAAATCACGTGGTTAGAAAGCGCGCCAACGCTGACGGGCAAAAAAAAAATGTCAACAAACAATCAGGCCACTCTCACGTCATTTTTTAGGCGCAGTCCTTTGAGCACTGTTCACCAAGGTATTAATTTATATTCGTCATTGCTGTGTTTCAGTGATAATTTGTTAGAACTAACTCTATCTCCCTCCCATATTATTGAAACTCGCATGTATAGGCCCAACTTTTGTTCTAACTTTCGGAACCATGGGTAGACAGACAGACGTCTCGGCCCAACGACATCTCGGCTCTGACAGGTCGGCCCAACATTATTGACATGTCGGTCTATATAAAAGATACCTCTGCCCAAGCAAAATTTTTAATCAAGGAATTAATATTAGTGGCGAATCCAGGATTCTTGAAAAAAAAGGGGGTGCAGGGGGCAAAAACCCCGAAAGCTCTTAGGTTTTAGTAATCAGGGTGGTTTTGCCCCATTACCTGTTTGCACTAGATGTTACAGTATGTAAAATATATAAGTTTAGGTTAATCGTTTCAATTTTATTCCAATTGTGAATGAGTTGGTTCAGTTTTCATTGTTTATTAACATAAGAAAAAGGTGGCAGTGTACAAGGAAACCTAACATGTGGCTAAGCAGGCAGTAAACAAGATCTAGCGACAGCTGCCATGTGAGGGGAACTCTTTCACAACGCATAAAATTAAAACCCGTGCAGACGGAAAAATATGTTCCGGTGCACTCTACTACATTCTCCCCTGCTTAACCATGTAACGGCCCTTGTTACAGCAAAAAAATGGCCTTATATACACAAGTATTTTTTAAAAAATACACCACACATTAAAACGAGCATAGAAACATTGGCAATTACTTTATATGTGATATGTTGTAACAGAAAAACATATGAAAAATACAGTTTTAAAAATGACAACCTAACAATACATTGCAATTGTCTTACTAATAAAAATAATAAACAAATTCTAGATAATTAAAACCTACATTCACTATACATCTCCAAAATGACTTAGACACAAAATTAGGTTCTAACAACTGAACGTGGAAGCCTGTTGATATTTGTGTGTTGTCCAGCTGTAGAACGACCAGATCTGCGAAGTGGCATTGACCTTTTTGTTACAATGTCGTAATCCTCGTCTGATGAGTCTTCATCTACCGATCTTTTGTCTGATTCTTTGCCGACTGTTGTTTCATTCTCTGGGTGTGTCTTTGGCTTCTCATCAATGTTGGATGGCCCTGCTTTAGGATTGATGTTTACACGGTTTACTATACACGTGTCTGTAGTCCCATCTCTTGGCTCCACTTGGTAAACATAACGGTCAGGATCTATTCGTTTTACAACCTTGTATTCCTTTGATCCCCAAGCATCCTGTATCTTGTTACGTCCCAGAATACGATTTCTTAAGAGGACAATAGTACCAACAGGAAGATCATGTGTTGCCACCTCCTTCCTGTCACCTTCGCGGTCTTTTGCCTTTGCCCGAAGTTTCTCCCCTGCTTTTTCGTATGCGGCCTTCAAACGCTGGGCATGCTGTTCCACATATTCATGAAGGTTAACTTCATCCTCTCCCCCTTCCTCTTCAAAACGAAGCATGGAGTCAACAGGTAACCGTGGATTTCTTCCCAGAAACAGGTAAAATGGTGTGAAACCTGTTGAAGAGTGTACTGTGGAATTGTATACAAACAGTAATTCTGGTAAATGGTCTGGCCAATGTCATTTTTCCCGTGGAGACAGTGAGCGCAAAAGATCATGCAGCGTTCGGTTGAACCTTTCGCATTGTCCATTACCCTGGGGGTAATAAGGTGTTGTGCGGGTCTTCTTCACCTTGTACATCTTACAGAGCTCAGCTATCAGGGATCCCTCGAAGTTTCTGCCCTGATCAGAATGTATGCGTTCTGGCACACCATACTTCATGAACCATTCTTTCATGAGAACCTTGGCTGTTGTTACTGCTGTCTGGTCCCTAGTGGGGATTGCAATGGAAAATTTGGAGAAAACATCAGTTAGAACTAGAACATTTTCCCTGCCATCTGATGACTTTTCTAAAAGTGTGAAATCCATGGCTACAATCTCATTTGGTTTTGTGGCTAGAAGGTGGTTCATAGGTAACCGCATTCGCAAGTGTGGTAGTTTCGCTGAATTGCACCTTTCACATGACTTGCAGTACTCGCTGATGTCAGCATACATTCCAGTCCAGTAAAATCTAGATCTCACTAGACTGACTGTCCTGTCTACGCCCTGATGTCCTGACTGCTTATGGAGTTGTGCCATAATTTGGTCTTGTAAACACTTAGGTAACACGAGCTGTCGCAACTGGCCTTGTTGGGGGTCGTTTCCTCTGCGGTATAGGTGACCTTGGTTTAACTCCATTCTCTCCCATTGTCGAAGCATGTCAATAACAACTCGTGTCTCTCCCTCCCTTTCTTTCTTAGACGGCTTTCGTCCAATAAGGAAATACTTCAAAAATCTTGAAATAATAGGGTCCTGGCTCTGCATTTTGATGATATCTTCTGGGTCATAACTGGGGAAGGAAAACGCACTAGAACATACTGCTGTTGGATGTAGTGTCTTAGCACGGTCTTCACATCCCTCGATTGCTGATGCAAGGGCCTTAACTCTAATGTCACATGGAAGTGTACTGCATGTATTTGGCACAATGGATGAAACAGAATCACATCTGGAAATTCTTGACAAGGCATCAGCCGCAGTGTTCTCCTTTCCCGGTCGGTACTTGGTGGTAAAGTTATATTGTGCTAGTTGCATGGCCCAACGTTGCTCCGTAGCTCCCAGTTTTGCGCTTGTTTGCAGATAACTTATGGGGTTATTGTCTGTCAGGATTTCAAATGTTGATCCCCATAGGTAATCCTTGAACTTCTCGGTCACAGCCCATTTAACCACAAGCAGTTCAAGTTTAGCAGAGCTATAGTTAGAGTCATTGCGCTCTGTAGGACGGAGAGTGCGACTAGCATAGGCAATGACACGATGTTTTCCTTCCTGCTCCTGCATCAGAACCGCACCCAACCCATTCAAACTCGCATCTGTCTCCAGGACGAATGATTTGGAGTAATCTGCAAACCCCAACACATCTGTGGATGTCAGCTTATCTTTCAGCGTGTTGAATGCAGTGGAACACTCTGGTGTCCATAACTGTTTCAGTTGTCCATTCGTCTTTTGAGGATTCTTCTTGTTGAAAGTGGCTATCAGTCCATACAATGGCTTTGCAGTATGAGCATATTGCGATACAAATCTACGATAGTAGCTTGAGAACCCTAGAAATCCTCTCAGTTCCTTAAGCGTCATAGGGAGTGGCCAATCTTTTACAACTTTTACTTTATCCTCAGATGCAGAAATCCCCTCCTTGGAGACTGTGTAACCAAGATACTGCACCTCCTGTTGAAAAAAGTGGCATTTACGTGGATTGAGTTTAAGGCCATGTTCCCGCAGCTTAGCGAACACCAGGTCCAATCTCTGTAGATGTTCATCTAAGGTCCTAGAGTATACCACTATATCATCGAGGTAAACCAGTAAAATCTGGAAAATTGTGTCACTGAAGATCTGCTGCATAAGTCTTTGAAAACTCGCTGGTGAATTGCAGAGGCCAAATGGCATACGGCGATATTCATATAATCCGAAAGGAGTCGAGAAGGCAGTTTTGTGTCGGTCGTCTGGATGCATGGCTATCTGATGGAAGCCGCTTGCCAGATCCATGGTGCTAAACAGTGTAGATCCATGAAGGGCATCAAGGGACTCCTCAATGCGTGGGAGAGGAAAAGCATCTCGAATTGTGCGATGGTTTAACTTCCTGTAGTCAACACATAGTCTAATGGTATTGTCCTTCTTGCATGCAACGACTATTGGCCCAGCAGAAGGACTCTTGCTCGGCTGGATTATGTCCTTCTCTAGAAGTTTTTGTATGTGGTTTTTAACTTCTTGATATTGGTTTGGTGATATTCTCCTGTACGGCATGCTTATAGGCTCCTCATCTGTTAAATTAATACGGTGCCTCACAGTCTCAGTGCATCCCAAGTCCAGGTCATTCTTCACAAAGACATCAGAATTCCTTGAGAATAAGTCTAAAATTTTCTGTCTTTCTTCTGAAGTGCATTCCATGTCCTCTGGGACGAGTGAGGATGCATCAAAAGCTGGAGGATCTCCGGTTATGTCATCATGCAATACAACCGTTTCCTCCCTTACTCCTGTAGACAGAAACTCTGCTTTAGCTCGAGGTGCTGTGTCAACATCACATTCAGACACTAGAGCCACACGACTATTCTTCTTTAACCAGACGTCATTGTCCCTTGGATTCATGACTTGGATGGGAAAAGTTTGTCGGTCACTGACACACACAGAGTTTAATGCTATAACCCCAATGTTGTTTACTATTGGCTCGATGCACACAGTTTGTTTACGTCCAGGTTTACAATGAGGTCCAACAACGTTGATGAAGGATACCGAATTCGATGGAATACACACATCCTCGTTTGCAGAAATCCTAGCAAAGCCCTTCACTTCCCCAACTCTTGCTTTGGCCTCGATTGTGTTAATGTATGGGACATCAGACAGGAATAAGTCGCGACACTGTGAGATATTGTTCATACCTAAAAGCCCAGGTACCTCCCTGCCACTCACATCCTTGACTATCAGAATTCCACGGTCTTTCACTGTGTGTCCATGCACCACTATATCAGTTTCAATATATCCTATATAAGGGATATCCAGTCCATTAGCTGCTCTTAGAGTTATAAATTGTTCTTGAATCATAGGGATAGTTGACAAATATTTATCATAAAATGACTCTGTGATAGTGCTTACCATAGAACCAGTGTCTAATAAACATTTAATGTCGATATTGCTAATAGTGATGACTACTGTTGGACAAGGTGCAATTACGTTATAACTGTTCGAGCCAATTGTTGAACCCACTGCACGGCTCTCTGCAGTGGGCACCACTAGTTTCCCTTCTTGGGGCAATTTCTCTTTATGTGCCCCTTCTCTTTGCAGTGGTAACACTGCACTGTCTTTGAGCGTGCTCCTTTTATGTCTGATAGCTCTTTCCTCAAGTCACTCATTTCATTTCTAAGAGTCTTGATGAGTTCTTTCACATCATCATCATGATTATTTGCTTTTTCTGCATACAGTGTGGCTTCTGTTTTCTTTTTCGGCTCCTCTTGATCTTGGGCCAGGACGATGGCTTCTTCTCTCAAATCATGAAAAGTCATCATTTCGTTTGTGCGGACAATTCTTTTCAGCTCTCTACGGAGCCATGGCTCATGTACATTTTCTGCTAACTGGTCCCGTAACATAGAGTCTCTTTCTTTCACACGCGATTTGTCTACCCTAAGGATCCGCTCCAGTTTTCCCATCAATTCTACCGAGAAGTCTTGTAGAGACTGACTGCGTGACTGTTTGGTGCTATAGAACTCAGACAACAATTCAGACACAGTTGCTCGTTCGCCAAAAACTTCCTTCAGAATCTCCAGGACAGCTTCTGGACTCTTCTTCTCTTCTGTCGGGCGGAATCGCATCTCTTCTCTCGCAGGTCCCTCAAGATGGCTAAGGACAAAGTCTACTTGTTCTTCCTGTGGTGTAGGCCGTGCCTTGAGGATTCTGGTCATCTCTTCTGTGAATTCATATACAGATACACCTTGACCTTTCTTTCCTGAGAACTTTTCCACTTTCCGCAACTTTGGGGCAAACACAAACTGTTGTCCTCCCTCAGTTGTTGCATTCTTCTCCAGCTTGACCCTTTCAAGTTCAGCCCTCAGGGCCTCCAACTGGGCCTTGACATCCCTTTTGCTCATCTTGATGCTGCTTTCTATCCACCACCACCTTTAGAACAGTACCGGCGACGCCATTTGTGAACGAGTTGGTTCAGTTTTCATTGTTTATTAACATAAAAAAAAGGTGGCAGTGTACAAGGAAACCCTAACATGTGGCTAAGCAGGCAGTAAACAAGATCTAGCGACAGCTGCCATGTGAGGGGAACTCTTTCACAACGCATAAAATTAAAACCCGTGCAGACGGAAAAATATGTTCCGGTGCACTCTACTACACAATAATCTCCATCTTTTCTGAAAGTTTGATCTAAGTAGGTTTTTTTATACTGAAAAGGTAATAAAATAACTTTAGGTGTAGATTGCTTTAAATACAATAAAAGCTTTTCCCATAGCACACACGCAAAAACCACAAACAGAACATTGAAGATTTGTCTTTGCAGACTGCCAAAATACACACGTGGAAAAATTTGACACCTTAAATTACAGGTTACAGGTATAACAATCTATAATGGGGCCAAACCACTTGCTGTGAAACCACTCAGAGCGAACGTAATCGGGGTGAACCCACCCGTTACCAGTTTTAGGAGGTTTATGGAATAGTTTTTAAAACTTAATTATATTTTAGCTATGGTTATTGCAATATCCCATAACCAAAAAATGATGTATTAATCTTGCACATATTTTTGGACACAAAAGGAGGTGCCCAAGCCCGTCCCTGGGCCCCCCTCTAGATCCGCCAGTGAATATGTATCAAAGGGGAGGGGGGATCAAAGGCGTTGAATGTTAGACTAATTGTTTCATCAACTAATATTCAAATCAGTCTTTAGCATGTTTAACTTAAACATTTATTCTTGTGGAAAATGCCCATGTACATTGTATGTCAATATACATGATATAAAGCTAAATTCGACACAAGGCCTGTCATTATTGATAGCCTTGTCTTTCTGTTAAACTGGATTACCATACCATCTGTACACATCTAATTCTTGTTCTAAAACCTGTGTTTAGATGACGAAAGACCTAGAGGGACTGTGTCAGTTTCCCCAGAGGAACAGTTTATCCAACAAAGAGGAAAATTGAGATCAAGTCCACGAAGAAAAGCTCTAACTTCAAATTCTCCACGACTCAAAGTCACAGAAATGGGTGCGTTACTGAATTTAAGATCTACATAAAATTTATGCAAATCTGCACTTTCTGGACAGAAGTATAATGATTTTTTTCTTGGTATTTATCGTTATATGAAAAATATAAGTAAAAAAAAATGTACCAGTGTTTTATATATATATATATATATATACTTGCTTTCAAATCTGCACTTGAGAAAAAAATCATCAAATATCCTTAAGGTTAACATATACATGTATACATTGCACAGTGGACTTGATATCAGACTCTCCTAATGACAAAAGTGGATGGACACCATTAAGAAGAGCAGCTCAGGTGGATGGAATCAAAAGAAGATTGCAGATGGAGGAGAAAGCTAGCAGAATGGATCTAGAAAGTGAGCCCCAAGATGAGAGCAATGAACAAGATGATGAAGAGTTTGTCCCAAGTGTAAGGAACCACTTAAATCTTTAAAGGGGGGTGGGGTGTTCTGCATTATAATTTTGATCTATCATGTTGTCACTATTTAGATTTATCTGTTATCTGAACTATTAAATCTTTAATTGGGGGGGGGGGGGGGGGGGGGGTGTTCTGCAGTATATAATCTATCATGTTGTCACTATTAAGATTTATCTGTTATCTGAACTATTAAATTTTTAATGGGGGGGTGGGGGGTGGGGTGTTCTGCAGTATAATCTATCATGTTGTCACTATTTAGATTTATCTGTTAGGGCTATTCCAGGAAAAAATGGACGGGAGGGTTGGACGGCACTTCGTATATTTTTGTATGGGTAGTGGGTCTGGAGCAATTAAATTTGTATGGGTGGTTGTCCTCACTCGATATATTTTTAGATGGGTGGTTGTATAATCAAGTGCAAAGTACTTCTTTCCTCTCATTTTGTATAAATCGGTAAATGCTAATATTTTCGTCCTAAACAGTTGTAAAGTGTGTTTACATTGTGAAAGTAGAATCGAACAAAACGGAAACAAGGGCAGATAACTATAAAAGCATGTGCAGCTGTGACTGCAATGAGAGTGGGGGATTGGAAAACGGATTGGTTGTGATTTGGACTCCCAGGTCCAGTTTCTTTTCGCCAGTTTAATCAAACGTAATTACATTGGTAAATTAAATGATATTAGAAACAATCAGAAAGATCGTTCTATTTTAAACTTAAAGTAGAAAAAAAAAAACGTATCTGACAATGAACGTTTTAGAGCATGACTACGGAGTTTGCAAGTCAAATATTTTACTTTATGCCACATACAGAGTAAAAGGAAGATGAGGTATGAGTTTGAAAACAATATGAAATATACTATGTCAAAAACATGCCAGTCCTTAACCTGTTGAGTGTTAACTTGTCGAACTTGTATGCACCAAAGGTCTAAGTTGTTAGATGGGATTTAGAATTCATTAAATATATTTTTTTAATCAAAGTTTTCACTTCACAGACACTGTCTACAGAAGTTTAGTCCCCCCCCCCCCCCCCCCAAAAAAAAAAAAAAAGCAGGAATCATTTTGTTATGAACAAGGTGAACAACAATTGTTAAGGATAGCTAGGCTATAATTTACAATATTAATTTTAATTAATTGTAGGAATGTCATTTCTACTAGTACATGTGTATACTATACTTGTAAAAGCTTTACCTAAGCTTTACAGACTACAAAGTCATGCATCAGAACAGATATACAAATCACTATAATAAAGGCTTTCAGTGGTGTGTATCATAGACCTAAAGGAACATATTTTTTTTTTAGCAGGAACACGAGGAACTGTTTTACCAAAAAAACTTATGATAAAGACTAAAAACTTTAGTTGTTCATAAAATCTTACAAAACTTATCTTTTTGTTAAAAATTGTTGGCATAAAACTATCTTATTTTTTTTTTCAAAAAGATTTAAAACATTTTTAAAGTAATGCTAAAATGAAATTAATTTGCATAATAACATTTTGATCTTAGTCATAAGTTCTTTTGTAAAGCGGGCCCTGGTTGGATAGATGTCAAAACCCAACACTCATTCGAAGACAGATAAATTACAATACCTGAAAAAGTACATAAAATTTTATTGTATATATATGTGTGACACAATTTTTTTTTTAATTTAGATGGGTGGTTGTATCAAAAGCAATTTTAAATTGATGGGGGGGTGGGGTAGAAGGTAATTAAAAATGTATGGGTGGTGGGGTAAAAATAAAAGTGCCTTCCAACCCCCCCATACAATTTTTCCTGGAATAGCCCTTATCTGAACTATTAAATCTTTAATTGGGGGGGGGGGGGGTGTTCTGCAGTATAATCTATCATGTTGTCACTATTTAGATTTATCTGTTAAATCTTTAATGGGGGGGGGGGGGGGTGTTCTGCAGTATGATCTATCATGTTGTCACTATTTAGATTTATCTGTTATCTGAACTATTTGCAGCAGATGATTCTTTTACTTAATGATGATTTTTTTTTTTCCTCAGAAAAAGAAGAGGCGTACCAAAACAAAGAAAACAGAACAACCAAATTTACACAAAAGATTGTCAGCATTAAGTCGTGAACAGTTAGCAGAAATCATAGAAGATCTTGTAAAGGATCACCCAGAACTAGAACAAGTTTGTTCTTTAATTTTCATTTATTTTCTCCCCTCCTCCTCCTCCCCCTCCCCCCCCCAACCACCATCACCACCCCAAAAAAGGAAAATAAATAAATAAAATAAGGAGCATTATGTTAGAAAACAAGAAATTTGTATCTGTGCTAGTAGAAATTACTTTTAATGTATTATGATGGCATATTTTAGAAAAGTATGTCAGTAAGCTTTCAAAGACCATGCAGTTAATTAAAAGCTCAGGCAATGAGATGTTGGTGTTGGTTCATGTTCGTGTTCTTTTGTGTGTCTGTAAACTTTTTTTTCTTCAAAATACTACTCCTTCATATTAGTTTTAGTCCTATTTAAATCAAACAAGATAATTATGTTGACATGGGACAGAATTATGTTAACATGCAAGATATTTATGTTGTCTTGCAACTTGTTTATGTTAACATGCGAAATAGTTACAGTGTAGATTGATATAAGACTTACTGTGGAATCATCATTGTTCGTGGGGGACCAATGTTCGTGGATTTCGTGGGTTACCCTTACCCACGAATTTACATCCCCACGAACGTTTATTTTGTAAACATGTTGATGAATTGAATCTACCGTATAAACGAGTAACCCACGAAATAACGTCCCCTCGAACAAGTAAAATTTTGCTTGTCCACGAACATTGACCCCCACGAATTAAAATGATTCCACAGTATTCATTTCAACATAAGAAGTTAAATAAGTTAAATTTCTATATAATTATGTCACATGTTGACATAAATGTGTCACATGTTAACATAATTATGTTGCATGTTGTATGTATGATATCAGATACTGGCATAAGTAAGTAAATTTATTAGGGAAGGCAGTTGAATACAGAAATCCCCCCCCCCTCCTTCCCCAGTCAATTAACTGCAAGACGTACCAACAGGTTAATCATATAAAAAATTCTTGAAAGATTCGAAAGGCATTAGTAATATTATGTTTATATTTGATCAGGACACTATGTATATTTTATTCCATTTCAATTGGCAAAAAAAAAAAAAAAAAACCAAGATGTGTTTGTGAAACACTGATGCCCCCGTATGGCAGCTTATGACGAAGGTTAAAGTTTCTCAAATGCAAGTCAAAATCCAGGCCAAAAGATAAAAAATGTTTAATTTGAAAGCCCTACCTGCAACTGTTCAAAAGTTATGGCGAAGGTTAAAGTTTTTTAAAAGTAAGTAAAACATCAAGGTCAAGGTCAAAGTTGTTGGTATCCAAAGGAAGGTCTTGTCACAAAGATTACATATGTAAAGTATGAAAGCCCTAGCACCAACCATTCGAAAGTTATGGCCAAGGTTAAAGTTTTCCGAAAGTAGGTCAGACTCCTATGTCAAGGTCAAAGGGTCAAAGTGGTTGGTACCCAAAGGAAAGTCTTGTCACAAGGATTACATATGTGAAGTATGAAAACCCTAGCACCAACCATTCAAAAATTATGGCCAAGGTTAAAGTTTTTTAAAAGTAGGTCAAACTCCTATGTCAAGGTCAAAGGGTCAAAGTGGTTGGAATCCAAACAAAGGTCTTGTCACAAGGATTACATATGTGAAGTATGAAAGCCCGAGCTCTAACTGTACAAAAGTTATGGCCAAGGTTAAAGTTTTTCAAAAGTAGATCAAACTCCTAGGTCAAGGTCAAAGGGTCAAAGAGGTTGATATACAGAGGAAGGTCTTGTCACAAGGAATACACATGTAAAGTTTGAAACCCCAAGCACCAACTGTTCAAAAGTTATGGCCAAGGTTCAAGTTTTTCAAATGTAGGTCAAACTCCTAGGTCAAGGTCAAAGGGTCAAAGTGGTTTGTATCCAAACAAAGGTCTTGTCACAAGGATTACATATGTGAAGTATGAAAGCCCTAGCTCTAACCGTTCAAAAGTTATGACCAAGGTTAAAGTTTTTCAAAAGTAGGTCAAACTCCTAGGTCAAGGTCAAAGGGTCAAAGAGGTTGATATCCAGAGGAAGGTCTTGTCACAAGGAATACACATGTGAAGTTTGAAACCCCAAGCACCAACTGTTCAGAAGTTATGGCCAAGGTTAAAGTCTCATTAAATTTTGCAAAAGTGGGTCAAACTCTAAGGTCAAGGTCAAAATGTCAAATATGATGGTACCCAAAGAAAGGTCTTGTCACAAGGAATACACATGTGAAATATGAAAGTCATAGCTTCAACCAATCAAAAGTTATGGGCAAGGTTAAAATTGACAACAGACAAACAGATAAACAGACAGACAGGACAAAAACAATATACCCCCAGGATCTTTCGATCCGGGGGGATAAAAAAGAAAAGAAAGAAAACCATGAAAAATGCCTGAAGTATCAGATACATTAAAAATATTAGACTTAGTTTGTGCACGTTCATTCTGCATTGTCACCATAATCAAAACTTGAGTCTTAACTACTGTAGATTCCTTATTTTACGCGAGTACTTAATATCGCGAAAAGGCCCAAGGGCGTCAAATCTTGAGAACAATAATTCGCGAATGGGTGATTTATCCAGAGATTTTACATGCATTAAAGCACCATAAAAATAAAAGCGAGTAATTTTATTTCGCGAGTGGTGCTACTCGCGTAATTACGCGTTAATTTATTCCTCGCGTACATTTAGGAATCTACAGTATTGCTTAATTTATAATGTTTAATAATATAATTTGGTAGGTTACTGCAAAGGCTAACGATTACCAGAACACATTATAATCATTTCATAGTACTCAACGATCATTTCATTAAAATCCAAAAAAGTACAGGACAAGCTGGGTAAGGACATGGTGTTTAAACAGCAATTAAAATCTAACTGACCAATTTTTCCCTCAATGTTAATCTTGGAAGCCTTAATTATCTCTGAATCAGTTAACATTTGAAAAGTTTTATTTGTATTTCTTAATTGAATTTTCAGGATATTACATTCAAATTTCCACATTCAGTGTTTTGTTTTCTGACTAACTGATTTAAGAATTTCTAACTGATTACCATTGTTCCAACAGAGTAATCGGTTATCTGGTTACAAATTGCCATCCCTAAAATTTACCCATATTGATATCAAATTCTCGAAAAAGATTGGTAACTTGTATATCAACATAATTATCTTGCATGTAGACATAATTATCCATGTAGACATACATTGCTTGCCTGTTGACATAATTTATCTTGCATGTAGGGGGCAGAAATATGCCACCATATCAAGGCCTGATGATCATGCTAACTTCTGTGCTTTAGAACATACATAGAGTAACAGTATATTATATAAGGCCAAACAAAAAAATATGTGTGGTTCCGGTTACACTTCTGAAAAAATTAGGGTAGGTAGGTAGGGATTTTTTTTTTTTTTTTTTTTTAACAAAATGATTTTCTTCATTTTTTCTAAATAATACCTATCACTTCTTTGCAAATGGCATTTAGATGTGGTGTGATAATATACTAGTCAGTATTGGTAGGGGACACCTACATGCCAGCTTGCTTTGGATTTAACACTATTAAACACTTGCACTATGTTTTGCAAAGAGGCCGTCATTGCTGAAACTAAAATTTAAACTGGAGCCATTGATTGAAATTGGGGGAAATTCCGGAAAAAATATGAAAATTGCCAAAAAAAAGTTTAGGGTCGGGGGTATAAAATAGGGAAGGTCGGGTAACCGGAACCACACATATTTTTTTATTTGGCCTAAGCAGCCTTATTTCCACTGGTTTTGTTTAGTTCACCTGAGCTGAAGGCTCAAGTGAGCTTTTCTGATCAAAATTGGCTGTTGTTGTCATTGTACACTTTGTACAATTTCATCTTCTTCAGAACAGCTGGACCAATATTAACTAAACTTGGCACAGAGTATTCTTGGGTAATTCGGATTGAAGTTTGTTCAAATGAAGGGCCACATTCTTTCCAAGGGGGGATAATAATTAATAAAAATTGGGTCATTTAAAAGTCTTCTCAAGAACCACTGGGCCAGAAAAGATGAAACATATGAAAGCCTCCTGACATAGTGTACATTCAAAATTTGTTCAAATCGTGACCCGTGGTGGTAGGGTGGGGCCACTAGGGCTGTATCAATATATCGATATATCGATACATATCGATATATAAGAATGTATTGTATCGAACAAATAACTTCCAGTATGTATCGGACAGGCAGATTTTCTCATAATTCAGTGAAAAAGTTGGGAATTTCAATCACCAAAGGTTATATTTTCACTGTTTTGAATTAAAATTGATCAATAATAATATAATCATTAAGGAGATAATCAGTCTTAGATAACTATTACAAAATACATAGACAACTTTATTTTAACATGTTGTTTTACAGTCATTTAAAGTTTGAATTTGAAGTGAAAGAGCTAGGTTCAATTTATGCATAAAATGGCCCTGTAGATAAACTAATTTATCCACTAACACATTATATCCCTTTCTCAACATCAATATAAAGTAGAGACTTGGGGCTTTCAGTTTGTATATAAAAGTTTCCTCTAAAGAGTCCAGGTACTCGAAAACAGGTTGTGTGAAATTGCAATGTTCTTAAATTTTGCAGAAAGCAGGTGAATTTGAGAACCTTCAACAAAGAATTAAAATATGAGCACACCCCTCGATCCAAAAATTAAAATATTTTTTATAATCTTAATAAGCAGTTCTTTCGTAATATATTTGCACATTTTGGATCGGAGGTTGTGCTGCATACGAAATATTGAAAAATAGCATCATATTTTGGCCATTTTTGAAGAAATATTCGGGATATATGAATAATGACGCAATTCATGACGTCATAATGCATTGACTATCAAGAAATTTACGTCATTTTTAGTAGAAATTCAGTCACCAAGTGTTCAAGTGATATTTATTGCCTTGTCGACTAAAACTATGCAGTTTTAATTTTTCAGAAATTTACAGGGCCAAAAAAGGCCCTAAGTGGCCCTTGCTCTTTGTAGAGTATTTTTTGCTCAATACACAGCCCTAGGGGCCACTATGGGTAAAAGTTTTACATGGATGTATATAGGAAAAATCTTTTTAAAA